TTTCCGATGCTGGTTGAGTGGTGCAGACTAGGAGCTGCTCAGCCAGGCAGGGCTCTGGCCTCGCACTCCATAGGAATATCAGGATGCGAATGGAGAGACTGGGCTCTCTGCAGGCACAGGGGCTTGGCTACACAAAGGAAGGTGTCTTCCATTCAAATACTCTGGGTGTTCACCAGTTTTCTGCTCTGAGCGTCATGCTTGTGCAAAGAGAAGAGAAAGAAAGCCCTAATCTTATCGCTAATCTCAGTGTTGCCTGCCTCTCAATTGGCATGCTTTGAGAATGGACACACACATATCGAACCAGGCCAAAATCTCCTTCGGCAAGAGAGGGAGATGGAAAATTTCAAACAGCTTATTTTAAACACATTTGTGATTATGCTAAAATGAAGGTTTACAATGAGATCTCAACAAATTCTGCATAGTGTTTCTGATATCAGGGAAAGATACAGAGCTCAGACAGGCCAGACAGCACCAATTAATCCTCATTAGGTTCAAACTGTTCCAAATAGTGTTTGCAGTTTCCACCTGTACCCTCAAGGCTGTCCCATACCCTATTTCTGCAATTTAACCAACACGTGGAAATACATAATGAAAATAAGGGTATAGAAAACCTGATCTGCAAGTATTTCCATAATGTTTCAGGTTTCCTACACTGATAGTTTTGACCTAGTAGTTAACTTTTGTCCTGCTGTGCTCTTCATGTAGGTCTTTATTAGTTATGACAGATTTGGTTACTATTAGAAAGAGAAGAACACAGCAAGTTAATGTCCCCTAATTTATTTTTCTACAATAAAACATATAAGGCTAAAATGCCTTTAAAGAACAAGTGTCAAGACCAGAAAAGCAAATGTAAAAACGAATTCTCGACATTCAAAGTAACAGACACACTGCTTCCCCCAACCCCCGTTGCATCTCTACAATAAAACATATAAGGCTAAAATGCCTTTAAAGAACAAGTGTCAAGACCAGAAAAGCAAATGTAAAAACGAATTCTCGACATTCAAAGTAACAGACACACTGCTTCCCCCAACCCCCGTCTTGCAAAAGCCCTGAGGGGAGAAGAAGAAGAAAAAACACAAAAGTAAATTATCTCCAATAAACTGACCACAAAGAGAAAACATTCAAGTATAATAAAACAATGGGTAAAATCCTGTCTTCAATTGACGTGGATGGTAATATTCCCACTGACTTCAATATGAGACACAATTTTACCAGTAGGACAGAGATTCTTTGCTGCTTAACAGCTCATGAAGGAAAGAGAGAGTCAAATACCAGGAGTATGATGGCAGAGAGAGGCAGCAGCATCATAAAATTGGATTGATTCATTTGTGTCAATCAAAGGGCTTGGGTGCAAACCAAAGTGCGAGGGTGTTCAGAGTCCCTAAAAAACAATGAAGTTTGGCCTCCGGAAGGTATGAGAGCTGTGTTCCTTCACATCCGCAAGAATAAAACAGTCTGTGTGATGGACTGCTTGCCTCCACAACTGCCCTGCCAGTTCAGGGCCCCAGAGCAGCTATCCAGCCTAAGTTATAGGCGGAGGCTCTCTACAGTTTGACCTTTTTGGTATGCTGCTACTGACTTCTGATCTGCATGTCCACTTCAATACAAAAGAGCTGCTTGATAGGAACTAAATGATAATAAGTTATTCGTGCAAAGATAGTTCAAATTTTGGAAGAGAGGATGGAAGAACGTTCATCCAAAACAATCAAGGCAACACATCCTTTTAACCATTAGAAAAATATAGAAGTCCAAAATACTATCAGGAATGTTATTTCAGAACAAGTTATAAATGTTACGCACGTCGAGAAGATTATTAAAATTCTGAATATTGGAACAGTTCAAAGCTAAGTCCAGGACTAAATTTAAAATAGAGCATATTTAAATGATGCATTCACCTAACAGAGCAAGTTTCTTTTGTGAGGCATCTACCAAACATATTTTTCAGACTTTATACCACGTAACACAGGCTATTTACATGGTGTTTGCTTTGCCTACAAGTTTTTTTCCAGTACTTACCCTATCTTACCAGGCATGTAAAGGAGCAAGGGAACAACAGGAGAATCATCATTGCCATAAACGATGAAGCCCATTTCATGCAGTCTTCGCCTGAAGTATCTTGTGTTTTTCCCTAGCTTCTGTACTCGCTGGAGTCCTGGAAAGAGCCAGATGGGAGAAGAGTCAGCGCAAACATCATAGCTAGAGTCTAGTGAAAGGGACTAGAAGTGGAGCTATTGGTAACATTCCTGAAAAGTTCGGACAAGAGGTTTATGTTGCTATTTGATTCAGAAGCAGAAACATGGAATGAGGTGAATGCAACTATGTTGATTCCTATGGCATTTTATCTGATTTGTAACGGTAGCAGAGATTACTGATATTCCTGTACTCACAAGATGTCTTTCCACAGGCAGAAATAATATGTCTTCTGTGGGCATAGACTGGTGAAGAGCTCCCTTTACCGCATTCATGGAATAGAGTCTACTGAATGACAAGTACCCACAGAGAGCAAGTTATGTGTCTGCGAATGCGCAACATTCAATAGAGCATGTTCTTTTCAAAAATAATGCACTAAAAAGGGAATGAACCTATACACGCAGAAAGAGATTTTGACAAAAGATCATTATATACATTCTTTTTTTTTTGATTAGCAATGCTCCACAGTGATCCTCTTTCTTTTCAGCTAGTTCTGTGTGCACACCTGGGTTACATTTTGGCTCTGTGGCTGTACGGAAGCTTAAAGTAGGAAGTGCTGCATTTTGAGTCAGCCCAAACTGATGCTTTCGTTGCATTTTTTCAGAGAAAAAGCATATAGTAAACTCACACACCATCTACATTTTGTTGCCAATAATCAGCCTAACTCCAGTTATTCTAATATGCATCTATACACCTAATCGCTTCTTGAGCTCCCTCAAGCTTTTGTTCTGAATGTTCGCTGGGAACACCTTGCTGTCTGTCTCAGTAACTGCCTAACAAGCGGTGATTCTTACGTGGTCCCCATTCATTTCCCATATCCAGATGGGGCATATGTCACTTAGGCACCTTTACTCCTGCAGCTGACACCCTGATAGCACAGTAGCTACAAGGACGGAAAACCTCTTTCTCAGCCCTTATTGTTCAGTTAATCCAACTGCCCTGTCCATCCACCAGTCATTGGTCATGATTTGATGAATGCAGTGTTGTTGCTACAGATTACTCTTTAGCAGCCCTGATGTGGGTTTTGTGAATTTTCCTTTCCTACTTCTTCCCCTTTAGACTGCATATAACTCTCTCTTTTTTTCTAAGCTTCCTGATTCTTGAGAGGTAACATCAGGGCATCCCTTCTGCATGAACCCAGCTCACAGGAACAGCAGACATCAGTATTCTGCAGTCTCTGAGTGAAATTATGTTGTGAGAAAAAACTGACAGGCGAGCTGCAAACAATTATTTTTAATTTTAAATAAGAAAGGCAAAAAAACAGCAGAGAAAAATGTGCTTGAAAAGTCAGCTCAGCCTTTCTTTTGGCAGCATCTCTAAGAGGTTCACTTCTAACAAGCACAGTTGCCTACCTGTTAGCAGTGTGGAAGCCACATTCCTCATTATTTCCTCTCTCTATATAGTTAGGGGCAATCACTTGTCTTTGCCCCAGCCATAATTGACATATTTCACCAGCTGGTCGATACTAAATGGTCGATGCTAAAAGGTGCTATCAGGGCTGGTGCCACCTCCCTCCTCGTACCTCCACCACCTGCCCAGCACCAGCACAGATGCTCATACAACCATGCAACGAATCGAGCCAATTCCTTGGTCTCGTCGGGCCAGAAAGAAACCAGCCAGAACAGCATCAGTCAGGTCAAACCTCTTCACCTAAGCACCAGGCAGCTGCACAAACAGCGCTGCCTGCACTCGGTGCTGGCAAGCACACATGGCAAGAGCAGAGTTTAGTGGACACATCTCTCGTCTACATGATTAGCTTTCATTTTTCTCCCATTCATCAGCTCATATTTTCAGTATCACTTAGACTATGTCACCAGACATGAACGCTGAAGTCTCCTAGTACAAATCATTTTCTCTTTTATTTTCCTTAAGAGTTGCCTTTGTACATATGCATCTTATTTTCACTCTTAATTTACTTTTTTCATTTTACTTTTCATCCTGCTCACTCACTGCTTTCTGCTGTGACGGTGCTCTGATTAGATGCCTATTCCCTGGTGTCCCCTCTTCCTCTTTGCAATCACAACAGCTAGTTCAGCACTCAGGGCAGATTTGTTCTCCGACCACACTCTGCTGCGGCACCTGCTCTCGTCCTGCTCCTTCTTGGCTAAGGTGGGGATCACCACACCTACAGAAATCTCTTTTTCACTAATTGCTTCTGAGCACATGTAGGTTTAAGCAAGGTCTGCTGCTTTGTCTGTTCTGTATCTTCTCTAGTCAAGGTCCTGTCAATGTTCTGGCTGGGAAATTTACAGGGAAACTGGGACTTGCTTCACAGTGATCAGTGTTTCGCTGAACAAATTAAAAGATCTCATAAAACCAGTATGTTTGTAACTTCATGCAAAAAACTGCCCACGCAGACAACCTGTTAGTTACAGCTTCAGTCATTCAGCTTAAGAAATTCAGTGGAAGAGATCTGCTGGGTTAGAAAAGGCCACAAATAGTTTAACCATCTCGCTAATGCTGCTAAAACAAAAACAGCTGTACCAGAGCAAGGAAAACAAATGAAACACAAAAGCATCCTACTACAAAGCTTTCCAGTCACTAATAAAAACAATAGTCTGTGGTATTTCCAAAAATATTTTTGGTGTAGTAGATCTCAAAGAACCAGGAGGAAATATTGAGGAGGAGGAGGAGAGATGGGGGTGGGGGAGATGGCAAGGAAAAGGAGTTAGAGTAGAAGTGCAGAGCACCATGTCTGAAATCTGAGGAGAGAAACTTTTTCCCTGCTAGAGGTGTTATTTGCACCTCTGAGTGCCCAAATTTGAAGGGAGGAAGGTGGGGGAGTGACCTGAAGCGGGGGTTCAAACCCACTGCTGCTTCTTGCTATCTTAGCAGCCCTGAACTAGTTTCCAAATGCTCAGTCTACAGCATTTGAAACTACTAGACTTTCAATCAGGGAAAGTTTTCATAAATGCAGATGTTCTTGGCGGATGCAGCTTAATACTTGCTGCCTTCTTTCTATTCAGCTGTTTACCACAAAGCTGGAAACAAACTGTCAGCCATTCAAAATTCCTGGCCCTTCAGTATTTATCAAACCATATGTGCTGGGCCTAGAGTTGATCGTTTTGCCTCTAATTTTTATTTTCAGTGCCGGAAACGTAGACTCCGAAGCAAGAGGGGGAACCCAGCAAACACTGCAGCTCAAGGAGGAGTTTTGGGCAATCTCTCAATCCCCCTTCCTTCTCCCATCCTCCCTTGCTATATCTCCCTCCTCAAGGCCCTTGTGATGGGACAGATCCCCTCTCCTTCTCGCCTATGGAACTAATTTCCAGAAAGTCAGTGCCAATACAAAAGAGCCACTTTAATGTTTTAGCAATATCCCAAAATAGCAATGTCCTTTGCAGGGATACATTAAAGAGGCAAATAAAAGATCAGAGCACTCACATATATCTGGAGGGAAAAAGAGCACATTAGGGGACGATTGCTACACACACTGTATTTGTGGGTGGGTGGCTGGGAGGAACTTATTTCTTTACCAAGTGTCAACACTTTCCTTTCTGATGTTAAGCTTTGTGGTCCAAGACCACATACATGCATCATATATACACAGCCATCTTATATGCTGTCCTGATAAGAGTAATAAAAACCTTGAAGTTTGTAACTGTGTTTCAGTGCTCTTTTTCTTTCATTTATGAGACCCTCCCAAGTCAGATAAGGAGGTAACTCTGAGAAAAATGTTTATTTTGGTCTGAGTGGCCCAATTCTTCCCCCACCCTGCAGATTAAATCAGCATAAGAGTTATGGAATTCAGTTTAGAATCAGATCTTGGTCCAAATTTCACTGGAGTATGTTTAACCAAAGATATTGCATTTAACAAGCATTTTCTTTAATTCTTGCATCCCTTAGTGATCTTGCATCCCTTAGTCCTACTAACCTCCTTTTTTGAGCGAAAATCTGCAGACTCAGGTCTAGCAGTGAGAATGTTGTAATTGCATCTTTTTGACTACAAGTGCTGCCTCTGCAGCCCTAACTACAACAACAGGGCCTTGGATAGTAAATCTATTTGTTCAAAAATTCTTATCTACGCACAATTCTGGAAGATTTATCATCTTCACTGTCTAAGCAAATAGCACATAGCACAGCATGCAGGTTATGCCAGATAGTTATGTTCCACAGAACACGTGGGCCATGATATGTTCAAATAAAACATATGTATATGTTCAAATAAAAGAGGGAGAACTGACCTTTAGCTAGCTCAATAGATAGCTAAAGTGACTTTTAGGAAGCTCACAACTGCTCCAGAGTTTGCAGCTAAGGCTGAGCATGCCCTTCTACATCTTTTCATTAGCTGAATGCAAAAGGAAGGAAAAGAAGAGAACTTTAAGCATGCTAAAATTTCACAAGTTATCTTCACAGTGCTTGGAATATACAGTGACATGTAACCAGTTTACAGTGAGTTTACCAAGATGGAGGATTAATTACTTGGACTATCCAATGAAAACTGATATTTGTTGCAATCCACCTCTTGCCGGCAAATTTTGAGTTTACGTTTGTTACACTGCTTCAAATATATTTATTTTATTGTAAAGTTCTAAAGTGCTGGCAATTCTGAGAAAAGTGCAGATTATATTTTTATTTGACATGCACTATTGCATATAGCCAGTTTCAGCTCATTAACTTTTGCAGGCTTTTAAGCAGCTCGATGGCTCACAATTAATATGGTTTAGTTTAAGAACCATACAAAGGCGAGGCAAGAGAGAAAGAAATGATAAAAGATAGATGGTTTTGCTCACAACCTCTTTGAAACGACAGGCTCTTGAGGGAGCCGCTATGACTACCAGACTCAGTGGTGCTTGGTCGTGCACCAGGGCCAGGAGCGACACGTGGTCCGAGGAGCAGAGCAGCAGCCACAACCCACCTCTCCCCTACCCGGAGGAGGGGTGCCCCACTTTGACCCACAACAAGGTCCCCAGGCAAGGAAACAGCCCTTTTTCCTACAAACCTGCTTTTGCTGAGGACTTT